AGTTAAACTCAAGTGATGAAAATCTTCGTGAAATGATTTTGTAAAAGTTGAATTCACGAACAGGTGTCACAACTGGCAGGTCTAATTCAGGTTTTCAAACGTTCGTGATATCACGAACACGTTGAAAATCGGTCGAATCTTTATTAAAAGGAAGGACTAACTGATGTCAAGCACAAGCGAATTGAAACCCACCTGAATTTTGAAAAGATGAAGGTTTTAAAAGCAACAGTTGTTTTAATCGCACACGAATCTGCCACTCACGGTAATTTCCAGCAAGGATTAATAATACACTGTATGATAATTACTGAAACATGCTCAAGACGATTTTCCCATGAGAGAAAAAATTGATATTATCAAATGCATTGCCCATTTTATTGATAGGACAAGCTGAAGAGACGTTAAATGGAACTGGTGGTGTATATATAAAAGAAAAGTACTGTATTTGTAGGTTGCTTATGAAGTCCGGTATAACTGAACTAACGTGTCTGTAACTATGCAGTTCAAGATTCAATTCGGTCAAAAGTTTGAACCACTGAAACCCAGGCAGGGCTCTGCAGAGGTGGTACCTGTACTTCACTCGGAGGTATGCCAACACCGGCCCGCGTTGAAATTTGCACGATATGATGCACAAAAAAGTCGTGCTCGACTAAATACAGCATTGGTAGCCTGCTGGACTGCAGTGAGTTTGTCAGCCTCACGCATGAAATCCTCATTCAGTTTAGGACATACAATACTGTACAGTACAGTACTCCGCTTTCCAATGCTGAATTGAATGCGAAAAAAAAAGGGAGTGAAATCCCTGCATGCTGATGCGGGAATGCCGGAGGGGCAATGGGAAATTGCAACCGTGCGGCTGGAAGCCCGCAAGAAAACTCGGCCTTGGAGTTCAAATTTCGAGAAAACTCGGAATTAGCGCTCCGGGGCATCTGAGGCAGCGAGTGGGAATCAGGACATGTGACGGGCACGGAACTCGTTTCCTAACCGGATGCCACGCTGGTGTGTGTGTGTGTGTGATGTATAGTAGTGTGCATAGTGACTAAAGTAAGTGCGTTTTCTCTCTTTCCCAGAGAAGAAAAGTACCTTTTTACTCGGCGAAACGCTCCCGAAGACGCGTCGGGGTCCCGCACACTCGGTAATTTCCTGCTCCCGGAACCCAGCGGAAGTTCTTGTTATTCTGCGAAAACGAACAGAGCCCGGGGATTAGCGTCGACAGGCGAGCAAGCAGAACTTCCCTCCCCCTCTAAACCCAGCGGGTTTCGCAGCGCACAAAACCCGGGCGCCTTCATCATCATCCCCGTTGGGCGTTTTAACTGGTGCTCGATGCTGAAGTCCATCCCTTCTGTATACATGAACGATACATACAGAACCGAAAAACCGCATTTTAACTTCCGGATCTATCTCAGAAGGAACGACGACTGCAATTACCGTAATTAAACTTCTTGTGGAAAAGCATTTACTGTACATTCGAGCGAGTTTTCGCAAGATAAGGTTTCGCGGATTAGGGCGTCTTGTCGTTAGCCGAACAAACAAATCAAAATCCTTGGCAATGTCGAAGGAAAATTGCCTTTTAGAAACGCGTCCATCCACTTTATCTGACCTACAGAAGTGCTTTTTTCTGCACAGTGGGTACACAGATGATGCTTCGCTTGAGTTATGATACTGTGATTTGTATCATTTGGCTAACAAAGCTCATCGAATTGTCCTCATGCATTCCTGAAACAGCAAAATAATCATAATTTCCATGTGAAGTACAATGTTTTTTTTGTGAACAAAAAAGGTTCGCAAATGATTCCCAATTCAAGTCAATTAGAAGATTACAAGAAATTAAAGCACTACAAAATTAACTTACCTGGTAGTAGGCTGAACCCCTTGTACTTTAATTTGTGTTTGTCAATTGCATTATGATGTAACTGTTATTGCAGTACTGATGTTTTCTTTTTAAAATCCAGTGAGGGGAACAAAGTGTATGCATTTACATCAGTTGTGCATTTTTACATTTTGTGGTGCATTTTCCTTTTCTTTAAAACCCATTAACAGCTGATTTCACTGTATTTTCATTCTGATGTGATGGAATGTGCTTGGATGAATGTGGGTGGGGAGGGGAGGGGGTTTGGATGTGGGAAGATTGTTGGAACCTTGTGAACATTGAAAAGCAGAAAATAAAGTTGGTTTATCAATCAAATTAGTGCAGTAGTATTTCACTGAAAGGATCCGTAAAGCCAACTACTGTATTTCATCAATCAAGGAAAACTCGTCCATAGTTGGGCGTGAAGCTCTTCGCACCCTAACCCTGCACCCAGATGTTAATCAACAAGGGAACGGCACCTAGGATAAGCACACACATGAGCAATTATTGTATACTGGAGGACATTTTGGGTCTTTGAACATTTCTGTACCATTTTGCTTTCTCAGGTCTTGCGTGTTTCATGGAATGAAGTGAAATACGCCGCTGTTGTATCGGAGAGGCTCTGCATAAAAAGAACTGCGATTATTCCGCAGCTTTCATTTGACCAAGTCATAAAAAATATTCTTTTAACCTGTCTTATAGAGTTACAGTGTTCATCTGATTACGGGTACTACAGTACTCGTGTACAAAGAAGTGCAAACGTTCAAGTTGAGTGGTCCGCTGAAATTCATTCACAAAACCATGCGATACTTGAGAAATTGTCTCACAATACGTGGAAATTGGATCAGACAATTGACAGGTGCTATCTTTCGTTTTCTGATGCGAATTAATTCATCAGAAGGGCTTCGCATATCTCACCTTCCGTGGCAATCCGCTGATCTCCGTCCTTTCTATTACGTATTTGCTTATTTTTCTTTAGAGGCGTTTCCTACCCTGAAATGTTCACTACAGTACTTAGGTGCCTCAATTTTTCTTTTATTCCCGATCAGTTTTTTTTTTTTTTACACCAACATCGACCTAGCGTTCACTAAGTAGACCCCCCTTTTTCTTAGAAGAAAAACCGTTCATGAAAAAAAATCTGATCGTGTGGCACGTAATTCTTAGGTAATACTGTATCCGATGCAATTTATTTAGATTGATTTTCTCGAAGATACCGATTTCTCTTCAAAGAGAGCATGTGGGTAATCCGTTTGTTGAAATCCTTTGTTTTGATCCAATGGGATTATCCCCGCGTTTTACGCGTGCTCTGGAGGCCTACTCATGCTTCAAAGATTATTGTACAATATTTGAAATTTTTCGAAACCGCGTAGGTTTGTAACATGTGCATCGTACCTCGGATACAGTTTATTGGTATTTCGGAATTCGTTCGTGGAATCCGCAGGTCGCCCTCGAAGGATCGACGGACACCAATTTTCAATCCGATGATTTCAACAAAAAGGGCTGGCTTTTCGTCCACGGATAGAAGAGGAAATAAAAAGGCGAACAAACGGTGCTTTGATTTCACCAGAAGCGAACAAAATATTTTATTGAACGGGCGTTCCACCTTACAGCGAAGTAACAAACTGATATGAAAGACAGCAAACCTCACAAGCATGTTACGCAAGATGAAACCGGCAACAGGACAATTTTCAATTTCATTTCAACGAGAAAAAAAAAACCCAGAACCAGACCGTTTTTTTCTTTTTATCCACCTTCCACTTGGCGACAAATGATTCTCCAGTTCTACTCCGAACCTCGTGAACAATGAGGGCAGTGGGGGTGAGACAGATAACTGCGAAGAACACCAACGATTCACTCCGCAACCCAACATTCCATTTCATCCCAGCCATTCCCACAAGACAACAGGGGGGGGGAGGGGGAATACAAAATAAAGCCGATAGTCTAAGAGCCTACCACAGGTTTCCTACAGGATCTTCTTCTGGACGTAAGCAGTTGCCCTGGCGTCAAAACATGCTACAGCTACTCAGGCACGTCAGCTCGGGACAGCTGTGAGCTGGAATGTCGACAACAGAAAATGAAGGAGAAAAAACGACAAGGGGGCACAAGTACGGAACCGCGCGAGATGAAAAGCATGAGAAAAAAAGAGCCCCGCGCCAAAAAAGCCCAAGAACCATTCGCTTCAAAAAATTAAAAAAAAAAGCAAACACCACGGCGCCAACATTCGACTTCGCTTCAAGCTTACATCTCTGCTTCAAAAAACATTTTCAACAACGGAGACAAAACTGTTTCATTTTTTCTCGTATCAACAGGGAATAAATCCTCTTTTCCTCTCTCGAAAAAATTAAAAAGACGACGAACAAGAAATCCGCCCCAAAAATTCCCAAAACCTTCACACTCGCCGCGTCGGCAGGAATTGAAAAGAAGCCACAGCGCTCAAAAGAGAAACTAACACCAGAAACGATGAAATGCTACATCCTCATCGTCACAGGAGCGGTAGGGACATGAAAAAAAACTTTGATCGCTGCTGTATTGCATTCGTTTTGGCTAAAAAAACAAACAAAAGGAAAGGAGAGAACTTTCCTCAGGGGAGCAAAGGACTGTCGAGCTTCTCCACCCTCCTCTCGTCACTGTCATTCGTTACGGCTGCACGGGAAAGAATAAAAAACAAAAAAGGGGGTGGGGGGAGAGCAGAAAACCTCCGTCATCGGCCTCATAAAATATACATCTTCGCAATAAAAACCTTCCCTCCCACTTCAGCGAAGACGGACCGACATGGACAAGTCCGCAAAGCCTGCATCAAGAGGAGGAAAAAAAAAAAAGATAAACCCCAGCCGGTCAGGAAATAAATTACCGCCCCGACAAATATGGCCAACAACACTCTTCCAACGTTAGCTCGGACTAGGCGTAAAAATAAAATAAAACGTAACCAGAGTTAATTTACACAATTTGCTCTCTTTTTCGCACGCGCGGGACTCGTTCTGACTTCGTGCAAGCAGCACGCTCCGCAATCCCGCGCAAAAAACTTCAACGAAATAAAAAAAAACTCTTTCCCTGCAAAAAAGCCTCTTTCGCACCCGAATGGAAAAAACCGCTAACAAAACGTTGAAAATAATATTAAAAACCTGGGGGTGGGGGTTTGGATTGCAAGGGAGGGGGGGGGGGGTGGTAAAAATAAAAAGCACGCACGCAAATACACTCACCTCGCCTGAGCGGAAATCACGTTGACGCTTCTTTTGTTTCAAAGACACGGAGAACCTTGTGCTTCCGTTCAACTAATCAATTTTTCTTTTCGTTTTGCTCGGTGCACGTGGTTGTTGAAAATATAAACGGGCGGGGGACGTCTTTGACTTGAGCACTACGGTCCGGAAACCAACAGGGCAATTTCTCTCTCAAAAAAACCGAGTCGCTAATACTGGCGGCCAGCCCTACGCACAAAAATCACGACACCGAGACCCAAATTACGTACACTCAGCTTCAGAACGAACAAACGGCATTGGATTCCTTGAAAAACCTTCCTTTTTTCCCTTTAAACTTGGTTTGCTTTTGTTCGGGAACCGAGGAAACTGCGTGTGGGAAGACGCTAAATGCGGGAACGATCGGAAAACCCTGAAGTGTTCTCTCCTTCCGGACAACGTGAGCAAATAACCACGAGGACACAACTCAAAAAAGATCACTCTTCCCCACTTCGCCAAAAATTTTTCCTGGAAGCACTCGGAAATCAAAGAGGAAAGCCGCGAGTTCGTCCCATCAACCATGTTTTTTCGCAAAAAATACAAGTATCCCTCGAACAACCGCACAAGAAACAACTCCGCCTCACCGCCCCGGCTAACAAGAGACAAAAAAAAAACCAACTCTGGAATGAAGACTGCTCACTAAAATCCGACCCGAATGCCAGCTGATCGAACCGTGCGAGTATTCAACGATCCCGAGATTCAAAAAAAGAAAGAAAAAAAAACCGTTCTTCGAAAGGCTTTTAACCCGGGGAGGGACACAAACAAAAATAACCCATCACCAGCGCCGCTGCTCCCCAGGGAAATCACTTCAACATCAATAAAAAATTTCTTTTTTCCGCAGAGACGATTCGAACGCGCAACTTTCTTGAGAGATCTCTCGGGAACTCAAAACGTAGGATAACCTCCACGGTAACTAAAAAGTTTTGTTTTTAGTTCAATAGCTCAAAGACCCAAAAATTCGGCGATAACTGACTCGATTCTTTCAACTTGTTCAACGACGCAAAAAAAAAAAAAAAAAAATTCAACTTCCGAACTTGATATTCTTTCTCTCCCTCTCGTTCTCTCGCTCTCATCGGCGGTTGCTCGTCGTCACTGCTACAATCAAAACGCAAGTTATTCCGAAAAAATTATAACACTCGAATCCATCCTTGACTAGCAATCCTCATGTGAAAAAAAACAATCATCGCTCGAAAAAAAAAAATCAATGCCGCGTGACTCTTTCAACACAAAATAGAACTTAGAATACCCACACGGAACTTCGTTCGCAACTTAAAACCTCGACCAGTCATCAAGATTCAAAAGCACGTAGTTTTCGCTCTCGACTAAATGCAAAATCAAAAAATTTACCGCTAGACCAGCAACTTCTATCCCCCTCTCACATGCCTGCTATCTCCCTCACACATTCTCTCCCTTCTCCACGAAGCGAATTCTGGCACATGCAAAACGAAATATTCCGTGAAAAACAACGAAATTTATCTCCTCCTCTTCCACCTTGCACCGCGCATTTACAAAAAAGAACGTTTCAAAAATTAAAATGACTCGAGAGGTTGTCAGGAAAAGATGTATACAGTATATGAATGGAGAGGAAGGAGGGTATGACATCAGCTGTGCGGAAAAAAAGCGTTCTCACTCGCTCCCGATGCCACGACGAAAATGCTCACCTCTTCCGGAAAATAATCGCAACGTTTACCTGAGACATTCCCGAAAATCTCGCAAACAAACAGGGGGGTCCAAGGGGACTGACGCTGGCAAAAAACACAGAGACACGTTAACGACGCAGCTGCGGACGGTGCCAACAAGCACTCAAACTTATTTCCCTGTTCCTCGATGGATTTCGCCGGCAAAAAACGAAATAAATACGTAGTTTCTTTCTTTTTTCTCCTCTCCCCAGGGTGTTTCGGGGAGCAAGATACCCTGCATGATGAAGGGGACTTACAGGCAAAGCGGGACCGGCGGGGCTTGGGCATAACGATACACGTACAGACGGTAGTCCTTGCTAGCCAACACAACCGAGCCGTCGTTCATGAGTGCCACGTCGAAGCACTGCGCGTGCTTCACCTTGGACTCGAGTGCAGAGATGCACTGGCCGTCCTGCGTGAAGATGGTAAGGTTGAAGTTGTTGTGATTGTCAGCCACGAGGATCTCGCCGGCGGCGTTGATGCCGACCCCTATGGGATAGTTGGTGATGCCTTCGCCGCCGATTTGACGCAAAAAGGCGCCGTCGAAGCTGAACACCTTCACGCAGTGCGCGCGGTTGTCAGAGATGAAGATCTCTTCGCGATCGTTGACCACGACCCCGTTGGGGAACTCGAGGTGCTTGGAGCAGCCAAACTTGTGCAACACGTTGCCCAGGATGTCGAAGATGATGACACGCATCACTTTGCACTCGACGACGATTATGTTGCTGTTCGAGTCGACGGTCACGCCGCGCGGGTGTTGCAGGATATTCGCTCCGAACTTGCGCACGAACTGTCCATACTGCGTGTAGATTTGGATCTGGAATATTTTCGCAAGAACAGGAAAAAAAACAAAACAAAAATTATGATCTAATTTCGATACTTCACCCAGCAAGAACTGGAGGAGGGCACTCGCGTACGCGACGAATGCGAAAGCTTTAAAACTGATACAGTCAAACCCTGTTAAACCACCGAAGTCTGTGTGGCATGATTCTGGCTTTATCAGGGTAGCACCTCACCTGGAGGCATATATGCCACTGCCTATCCACATATAAAGAACAGGAAACTAGAACCCAGTAAAGAAAAAAAAATGGTGCTGATGCACTGGACTAGGAGACACCCAAAATAAAAATACAATTTTTTGACAATTTTATGTGCTCTCTACTAATCTAATACATTAGTTTCTTGCATCAGCGACTTTGAATTGCAGAAAAGGTTACTGGATTTTTTTCCATTCTTAAATCAACTCTGCCTTGTATGCACCCTCACATTTAAGATTACAAGGATAACAATCTTTCCAAAAATTAAGGTTGTAACTTGTACAAAATTCATGATTGTACTGTACAGTACTGTACTTGAAAAAATACATGCTACAGTATTTATGAAAAAATAATCACTGGTCATAAATGTAATGTTGTTGCACACATTTTTCTTGCACTCAAAACTAATCATCCTGTGTACATTAATTTATTATCCCACTGCAGGCAGTTCCAGAAAGTTTCATGAACCACCAACAATATAAAAACAATTGGCGGTTTGTGGAGAGGAAAATTAAGGATAAAAGGCAATTTTGGGACTAGGAAAAACTTGGTGGATGGCGGTCTATTAAGGGTTCCCAATCTCTTTAGCATTAGGGTGATTTGTTTTGCAGAAAATATAGGCGGGAACTGAGGGTAGCGGTTTAGCCGCAGGGCGGTTTAACGGGGTTTGACTATCAGACATTGAAAAAGCACTAGGAAAACAGTTTCCTGAATATTGGCCCTGCACCAAAAATAAGCACAGTAGTTTTCTCGATTTATCCGCCGAAGGCGTGATTGATTTTGAAAATCTGCCTTCATTCTAACTTTACCACTCGTGCTTGCATTATTTTTCCGTCTTTCTGCGGTTGTCTCCACGAAAAGATTCATCTTCCTAGCGTCGTAAAAAAATCCACTCGTGATGCATGAATTTAGTTTCTCATCTGAAAATACTGGAAGATTCGCCAAAAACAGCAGTTGATGCCTCGTCCATTTTTGGGAAAATGTACGACTGGCAATTTTTTAAGGATATCACAAAAATACAATAACACAGTTACAGTATTCAAAAAATTCATGGATACGATTTATGTCATTCTAAAGCAATAAAAGCGTACAGTACTTGGAAAACCGGTAGAAAATTCAATCGATTTACTGATTTTCTCAGAAGGATTTCGGCTGTAAATGCTTGGTAAACAAATGTTATATTAACGCAAATTTCTATTTTTTCAAGCAGGAAAACCCGTAATTTCATCAAGTTGGAGGACAGACTGTTTCAGCGTTGACACCTTCAACCGTATTTAGTCAAGATTTTCAATAATGTAATGACTTCAATCCGGTATACTGTACTTTCTTAAAATGCCGATTGTTTCAAGAGATGCTCTTCTTTGCGTAAAACTCCCAACATTTCTCTGTACCGAAAAACTTAGTCCAATGTGATGACAACTTCACGTAACTTTGGTGGCGGAAGAGGATTCACTTGCGTAATGCACAAAACCAAGACTTGAGCAATGGCAAATTTTCACAATAGCCCCCTTCAGCCAGTTATCATTGCTCGAATGGCATCACATCGTCGAACACACTAATGACATCTACCTCGTTTAGATGCAAATTTATTTTTCGTGAAAGAACATGTATTTTCTCGAGGTTTCCAGGACTCGACGTTATCAAGTTGATTTCATGAATCCTACTGGCACGCGTAGGTTGGGAAATTTTCCGAAAAATGCCGCAGGAATTCGGGGTAGGTGTATATTTAAGATACAGTATTTGCATTTAGTCGCATCGAAGTCCCACATATGCGGCCTATGCTAGAGATAGTACCGTATACATTTTTCAAAAACCCAAGATATGCTTCAAATACGGTTCATTATTTCCCACCAGGAATTCTCAACGCATTTTAGTTTCAAATCATCGTACCATAAAATGTACTGTACCCCGTTCTCCGCTTTTGAAAATACAGTACTTCATCAGGGTTTCCTGATTCGCAGATTTTGTCAGTGAAGGCTTATCCTCAAAAATTGTTGGACAGTTTCGGGCTGTATTTCTTCGCACGTTTATCAGATTTCGTTTTGGATAATGCAGCAAATTTTTAATGCTTCGAAAAATTGTGATGCGGCTTATACAATCACAAATGCTGTAAAAGATGGGATTTTCGTGCAGAAAGAATAAAAAAAGGAAGAATGTGAAGAAAGAGGAAAATTACGAAGAGTGCCTTTTAACACGAACCTGATGCGTAGGGGACCGTTCCGTGACGACGATGTCACCGGTCTTCTGGACAACAGCGACGCGGTTCGGATACAACAGTTGCCCATCACGTTTCCCGCATTCCCCAAACTGGAACTTGAATCGACCTTCCTTGTCGAAAATCTGGATCCTGTGATTGTTGGTATCCGCCACGATGATGTCGCTCTGCTTGTTCACAGCCACCCCGCTGGGCTCCGTGAACTGGCCCTCCATCACCCCAAACTCGCCAAACTTGCAATGATAGATCATTTTCTGCCGCTTCATGTGCGACTTGGGCGGGTACATGGGTGCCGTGATGAGCTTCGTGCCCAGGTCCAACACCGGGTCCGGGGTTTGCGTCAGCGGCGACGACGAGTCGCTGAAGGCCGGAAACAGGGTGTCGGTGTTGCTGCCGCCATTCGACCACTTTTCGTAGGAATTTCCTCCGCTGCCGTTGAGCAGACTCTCGCCCAGTGTCGAGAAGGCAGACAAGCCGTTGTAGCGCTTCGGCGGCAGTTGCAAGCCCGTGTCGAACGGCGACACGTGCCCGTTTCCATACGATCTGCGCGTCAAGGCAAACCATTCCTTTTAAATACTATTTTTCAAAGAAAATACTACAACCTTGTCACGTGACTTTTTTTTTTTTGTTTGCCCTTCTCCAGTACGAACTTTTAAAATCCATCGAACTCTGCCTCTATACTGCGTCTTCCCCTTGAAAATAATTCAACTGAACTTAGCCGTCTTCACTAGAATACCTCGCGCACTTTTTTTCGCCCGCAAAATACGACTCGGAAGAAGTTGGCGGGCATCTAAAACAATTGAGAATGATACTCCAAGAAGATTTACAATTCCTTTTCTTTTTTCATTAGTAAAAGCTTTTATGTGCATCTTGAACAAGGGTGCTAGGTATTCGGGTAAATACACTGATGTATACTACAGTATTTATTTCTCCTATACATTATCTAACTGAAGCTCACAAGGGCAAGTTTCATTTTGACATGAACTAATTTTAAAATTACGATTAGACAAACACTGTGCTGAACCTTTCGTAGGCGTGAAATACTGTACTGTTTTTGGAATTTTTATAAGTTGGGCAGATTAGGAGAGAGACACATCCAGGAAATCTGGAAGTTTCCATGGGGAAATTAGGGGAAGGGTTCGGGAGAAACACCTGGTTTCGGAGAAGGGCTTACATATAATCAGAGCAGGGTCTAGAAATATCAAGGCTTTTTCTTTGAGTAGTCCCACTCCAATTGAAAAGTTTCACGAGTATTCTAAAATTAATGATTTAATTGATATTGTTACGAACTTGAAAATTACCATTCCTGAAATGAGATTCAAGTTTTTATTTCTCTCGAAAGCGTGGTCACGACAATTGGGCCAAAATGTAGCGTCTCGAAGTTTACAGATCTGGCAATTCGGCTATTGATTTCGAAAAGCGGACAAAAGAAATTTTCATTTTGCTCTTGAAAATGTTATCTGAAGGTAAGCAACAATGAGAAAACCTGCGATAATACTTTACTTAAATTTTATTCGTGGGAAACATCGCAGTAAGAGGCTCAGACTAGCTTCGGGGGAGAAAAACCATAAAGGCCTTGGGAAAATAAGATTTTCACAGAAGGATTTAAAGCAAATTTTTAAAGTTTCATGCATATCCAGTAAACTGTTCAACGCACGGAAGTCTGCACATAGGATTTCCATAGCGTTTAGATGTGCTTTGCTGAAGCTTTGGCTTTAAAAAAAAAAAAAGGAGACAAGAAGTTTTATGCAAATGGTCTAGAAAATTAACCATTCGGTTAAGTCGAACGTTAACTTCACTCGCACTGTTTGAAAAAAAAGCGATGGATTTGCATTATTAAACGTTAATCCTACGCCATACTGCCGTTACGATCATCAGGCATGTAAATCTTCAACATCAAAGAACTTGGGTTTTTTACGGGAGTGCGATATCTGATGTTCAAAAATATCGAGCTATAACGGATAAGAAAAACCTTTCAAATTTCAAATACACGAAGAATCAGAAGTACGCTTTCGAACTGCAGGTCTCTCAAACGTGTCAGCATAAGTTCACGTTTCGTTCATAAAGTGCGCAAAATTTCAACATTTTAAACTACAGTACTGTACTGTTCTTATAATTCAGAATTTATAAAGAATCGAAAGGTCCCAACGCTGAACAACCATTCTTCATTTGCTCAATGAGCAGAAATATTTACACGAGCACATGAACAGCCCAACATCAGGGTTTTTCCAGGAAACGAGCCGCACGGAACATAAATGATGAATGACTGCGATGGTCCAAGGAAGCAAGCATCGAGTAAGGAGAGGAATTAAATGAAGAGCAAGCTAACAATAAAATGCATCAAACGGAAATACTGTACATGGTATACAATGCTGTTCGTAAGAGAAACAGACGAGCTCACCTCTGATCGCAAATAGAGTTGGAGATGGAGAACGGACCCGAGTTGAAGGAGGAAAACGCGTTGTTGCTCACAGAGATGAATCCATTCGCGGGTCTCGCGATCGGAGGCTGTTTGTTGGTACCCAACTGAATATCCGGACTGGACCTGATGTACCCAAACGTATTCTGCACGCCTGTCTGAATCGCCTGGTAGTTGGAAACAAACTCCAGCTCGCTCGCATTCTGAAGTCCAATGTCTGGACAGAAATTGATGGCGTTCATCAGCATGGATTCGATGACTTTCTTGAACATCAGCGTATGAGCTGGTGCAGCAAACTTCAGCATCTTCTCCATGAAGTCATCCACTTGATGGATCTTGCGCACTGTTTCTTCCACTTTCTTGGCCACGTTGGCCAGAGAATTTTGTTTAGAATTGTGAGTGCTTTCGAGCTCTCGCAGAACGTCCTTTTTTCGCTCTTCCAGCGCCGACACGGCGAAGGCGAACGTCGCGTTCACGTCATCTTGCGCTTTCTGGTATTGCAGCTGTCGGCAAAACACATTTAAATCTGTGTCAAGCTTCATCATTAAGGGTACGACTTATCATTCAATCGGAGGGACTTGACACGTCTATCCACGGATCTGGTTCTTTTCGTATCCCAAGACGACGAAGTTAATTACTTTAATCCAGCGTGAGCACAGGTGTAGTACACTAATAAAGACCGCACTGTGATTTGGGCAGAAGAAAATCGTCTAGGCCGCATAAAATCCGGCAATTCCGAAGATCAAACTTGACTAATATTGTTTTTGCCCTTCAGCTTTCCCTCTCGAATCACTTCGTGTAAATTCGGAATTATCCCAATAAATAAAAAAAAAGCGGCTTCTAAAATAATTACGACAGCATCTCCAGTTAGCTAGGGAAAACTCAGCAGGAAGTTTTCAGATCCAATACGAGGTTTCTCCATTCGGAACGACAGGCAAACATTTTCAAACAGAACGAAACAAAATGATATTTCTTTTAATGAATCTAATCCAGCGTAAACGTTCAAAAGTTGAGAGCCATTTATTGACAAAATAAGAAACTCACCTGTAGTTTAGCGCAAACGTGATCCACATTCTTCAGTGCAGTGTCCATGTCACTGAATTTCATCTTAGCCTCTTGCACCAACCGACTCATTTCCTCAATTTGTGACGAGGATACCTTCACCAGACTTTCGTACTCATGATACCCCTTGGGGTGCTCAATCAGAGTGCAGTCTTTGCAAATCGGAGTGTTGCATGTCCTGCAGAAGTACTTCAGCGCCTCATTTTTGTGGTTTAGACACCACACGGGCTTGTCCAACTGAAAACGAATGATGGCAAATTACGTTACACATACGGTCTCATATTCATAAAAATTGCTTCAAGGCATGCATCAATTTTCTGAGAACAGAAATATCCACGGCTCCCATCAAAATTTTTAAAATCGTTGACGTGAGAATTTTATGCACCCCAGGGATATCTGCAGAAGAAATCGGATTACGTTACAGGATCACAATAAATTGTTCTACCCTCTCGAACACAGGTAAACAATTATTGAGACTTATGGGATTGTCAAAAAAGAAAGAAAAAATCTGAGGAAATATATGGTTACTTGTGCTTATAAATGGTATGTCACTCCCATACAAGGTAGAATTAATTCATGAGCGGGGTTTCGACATGAACGCAGATGAAAAATCTCTTTGTGCAAAATTTGCTCAGAAAACCTACAGTGAGGCCTTCTGTTCTAAAAAAAAAATACTGTATCTGTAAAATGAATCGAGTTTTTCAATCTGTGCTTTTCCGAAGAGATCTGCGACTATATCACGGAAATGAAAGACCGAAGAATACCACGAAATGCATCATAAAGCAGTGGTGAAAATATTATACTGTACAAGGAAGTGCAGGATGAACTTGACGTTCAAGAGGACCATGAAATTGAATTTTGGGAGCAGAAAGACAGAATGAACACAGCTTAAAAAGCCTCAAGGAGCCCCGCCGTAGACATACGAAGTATCGAGGGGGAAAAAACCAACCATCCAACGAAGAACTTCGTCATAGAAAGGGCATTAAAAAAAAAGCTTCAGAAAGTCAAAAAGAGGGTTTGAATGATGAAATGAAACACGCACCTTCATATCATCGAATTTGGGGGCGCCGTTCTGCAGTTCGTTGAGGAGGTAGTAGGTGTGGCCCTCGAAACAGTGCATGTACTGGTGCGCCATGACGCAGTTGGCGCAAAGGAAGTGCGCACAATCGTAGCAGCGTGCGACGGCGTTAGACTCCTTGCCCTTGCACCCAGTGCACGACACTGCATTAGTGTCGATCACCGGCGGCTCGAGTGCAGTGACGGCCAGGTAATCCGGCACCAGCCCGGACACCCCGCTCGACGGCAAAACCGTGTCGGCGCAGCACTTGGGACACGACACCTTGTCGGCCTCAACGAGCTTCTCAATGCAGTCAGAGCAGAACGAGTGCAGACAATGCAGGACGCGAGGTCGCTCGAGCTCGTCGTTGCACACAAAACACTTGGGCGTCACCGACGAAGGTAGGTCCAGGCAGCCCAGCGACGAGTTGTTTGATCCGCTCTCCAGTGACGAGCTAACAGGCATCAGCGCACCCGTGAAGCTGTCCAGCGACGGTGACGGCGACGATGCCATGGCACGACTCTCTCTCCAACCCTAAGAGAAAAGCCACAAAAGAGGGAGAGAAAAAATCCGTTAAATGTGCCATGAATCCTCGCATACAGCTTATTCATTTTGGGTTTCATATTTACATAAGAAAACCACACATAATCGATCGATCACCAGAGGAGTTCAAATAAAAAGCAGAATTTACGCATCATCTGAAAATCAGATACAGTATATCGAAGACGATACGTGATGCAACATGTGTTGCACCGTTTATTCCAAATTAAAATTCCCAATTCTACGCTCAAAATTCGTTGAATTCGTCCTGAATCATCAACCAAAGCACAGTCATTTCTTTTATGTAAGGGAAGCTGAAATATATTCAAACAATTTCACTTCCTTTCCAACATTCTTGATTCAACGTTATTCAAAATACGAGCCAGAAAAGACTGGAATTACGGACTACTACTACACGTAAATTACGCGCTAAAAAATTGGCAGAAAGCGTGTTTCAACATTGATGATTCCACCTCTAAATGCTTTTCATATTGTTGACGAATCCTCGCTCCAACACATTTCATCTCTGCTTCTCAGAATTTACCCAAGGAAAACACACCTAATCGGTCAATTTTCAGTTCACGCCCGAAGCGAACTGATACATATTTTTGAAATTTTTGAAAACAAAAAAATAAATCTGAAATTCGAATCATAAACGGAGGAAGCAAAAGGAACTATTGCATTTTCGAAACCAGGCATTATCACTTAAATTGGAAAAAATAACGAAAAAAATAAACACGCTCAAGGTTGTCAAAAAATGATCTCTCAGATTAAGCGCCTCACTAATTGAGCATGAATATTTGATGAAATTAAATTGATGCACTCTGCAGCACGAGAGCTAGAATTGAATAACCAAAATAAATATGAAAACGTAGACTCGAAAAACTCACATCCGCAACCAAGAAAACCGAACGCGAAACTGCGAACACGAGCTTCACGCTAACATCGGTACGGTATTTCTTATCGAAACAACGACTATCAAGTTTCAACGAGTACAGTACAGTTACTTCGTCATATCAATTTTTTTTTTATCGCGATCGTCGTAGACAATTTTATAGAACAAACGGCATAGGACGGTACACAATCTAAAGCGCACAAAAAAAAAGACGTCACAATTTTTCGGACGGTTTTTTGATTGAAAAACGTTGCCAGTGAACTTGAGAAAGAAAGGCAAAGTTTGTGAATTTCTTCAGAAAATTACTTGTATCTGAGAAATGGCTTCAAGATCACGTTCACAAGCATTTTCGCACACAACAACAGTCTTCGCTTGAAGTTTTCTCCCGGGAACATTCCAGATTAGGAAACTCGATGCTCTTTTTCAGGTGTTTATCTTACCGACGAACATTTTTCTGAGAGACCCACAAAAAATTTTATCGGCCGGCCGGAAAGATACGAATTTCCAGCTCCTGATAAATTCTGTATAGATTGACACAGATGTGTAAATGTCATGCTATTCTCAATCCTGCTTGAACTTGCAACATGAACTTTTCGGATCGAATCAACGCACGAGATAAGCCAGAAACATTTCAGGAAAAGAAATCGAATTTCCTTCACGCGAGTAAAATCAATATTCATTTTGGAGATGGCCTGGATATTCTAGTTAACAGACTCGTCTCGTTCCAATACCTTGTCCGAGTAATATTACGGATAATTCACTGTCCTAAAACTCAGTCGACGGACACGAAACTTAAAAGAAAGGCCTGACATAATTTCACACATTCTCGAAAAATCTGGAAGAACAGTCGACTTCATCGAAATCTCGGGGGTCGATTAAGTTAATGTTTAATCGAGATCTGGATAATCAGAATTCCTCTGTACTGGTTCTCTTCCCGACTACAGCAAATTTCGGACGCGAAAACCCGGACTTCTCTAGCCTTTCGAGTAATCGCATTTCAGAATTTCCTTTTATTTTCCCTCGTTGAGAAGCGAAATCCAATACGCGCATGCCACGAAGGGAAAAAGAACGAAGTACTAAGCTGACGTCGTCCGTCGATTACCTCGCTTATCACCGGAGTTCGGGAGGGAAACAAAAATCAGACGAAGCTAAAGACAACAAAATCTTCTCACACGCGGATCATGGGGAGCCCGGGAATGAAAAGAGGAAGGAAAAACGCGCTTAAGCTCGACGAGGAAACCGAAGTACGTACGTCACGAAGCCAAGGCAGTCATAAAATAAAGCAGAAGGGGTGAAGAAGAAGAGAAGGCAGAAAAAAAGCACTGAAAGAATGAATACCCAGGGACCGACGCAGAAACTGAGTCGCAGAAACAACGACCACGTGATCCCGGGACCGACGAGTCGATAAGCCACACTTGGGAGAATTTCGAATCGATCCTCCACCAAAATAACACAGGAAGAGACACGCATTTTTAGCAGGGATCTTCTATACCTAGAATACAGATTTTCAGGAATGCAGTTGAGCGGTGAGGGACAACATGAACATACAGTAATTTTTCTCCGGAATTTCCGCAATATAAAATAAATGCTGATCCTTGAAATTTTTTGCAGCAAAAAAGTTTTTCGAACGTTCGCGGCAATCTGATTCTCCAGTACCACTAATATATTTTCGATGAACAAAAAAATCTGATCAAGTGTGCATATGACTTTCCATGAAAATAAAATCAGTACTGTGCGGCACATACGCTTGAGGAAAATGCAGTTCTAAGCTCTGAACACATTTCAAGCCCATTGAAAATTGTAATAAAATATAATTTACGCAAAAGAGCAAAAAATCCATTCCGCTGTGAAACCCATTATTCCACGGTTATTCGCCGCTTCTACGAGTATTCAGCTTCAAGATTACATCATGATATACTCGATCAATTCATAGAAATGTCGCCGAACATTTCATGTGCTACAGTAAGAAATGCGCAGCACAATTTTACGATGTGGACTGATCGCTGCCGAAAGCTTGGGGAATTAATTTTCCCCCTTCCATCAATAAAAAGTGAAGTCGAAATCATTCAACGCTGACGCATTTTTGGGCAAACATTTTACCTTCTGCCACAATATTAGTTTTGAAAGGAACAAACCCCGAACTCCATAACTACGTTACATTCTACAGTATTAAGCGTATCATAAAATTCAATAAAGGCCATACAATACAGTACTGTACTAGCATGAATAAATCCGAACAATGAAACATTGACTATCTCAGTTTTCAATTATGAAGGCTGTTGGATGTCCAAAACATCTGACAATGTAATCATGCTCAGAAAAGAAAATCAGAAAAGTAATCATTTTCAGAAGACCAGGGGTTCCCATCTTCACAATAATTTCAAGTACAATACAGCGATGCTTTCCATCCAACGAACTTTTTCGAGTTCAAGCAGACGATTCATCGATGAACACCTCTTCTAAAACGTATCTACAGAGTAAAGATTTTTTTTCGGGTATTGTTGTAGATGCAGAGTCTAACATTATTCACAGACACCATCAACTGGGCTCGTCGTATCCTTCTAAAATTCGGCAACCATTGTGCGTGTCGACCTTTACTGGTTCCCAGGCGCCTTTATCGCGAAACAAGGGCGAGGTCGCGAGCGGATCGCCCTGACCTCGAATGAACCGCTCCGCTGGTATCGAGCGCAGAGCCCAGTACGAGCAGGCAAAGGTTCAATGCCGAAACAATAAAACGCTCACATTCGTCCCCGATTCCGGTGGCAGGCAAAAGGGGGGCGAGGTAACAAAAGAAAAAAAAAAGGGGGGGGGGAAAGAAACACATAATCGCTCACACTGATGGTCAGTTGATACCCGAGGCCATCGAACACACGAAAACCGCTCCGTGACACTTCGCCAGCGTTTCGTCACACTCGATTCGACGATTTATCATTGGACATCAAGCTCTATCACGTCGTTTGTTTCGTTGGAAGGATAAATATGGAAATCAACAGCAGTCGACTTTTTCCAGCTTGAAAAAAAAAAAATTTATCGGTCATTAATTACCATTTAGAACATTAATCCACCAGCGGAACAACGTCAAGCAAGCCCTTTCTTTCACTAACGAAAGCGAAACAAAAACAGAGCAACTCTGGAGCAATGCAGAAATTTGGAGCCTTTCGAAAATTCATCAGAATTCTTAGGGGTCCCCAACAAAGTATTGTAAAAGTAATTATGAGGATCGAAACAAATAGAAGGATCAATTGATACCTCCGGAATAAGAAATACTGTACCACCGAAATAAGTTAGTACTGCATTTAAAATACGGCAGGAACGAAATTCTTTAATCAACTATAGAAACCATTGAACAAATTTCTAAAGGGGTTTCGCCAAAGTAAAAATTTCCATGAAAATAACCAGAGTGGAAAAGTCGAGAGACTCCACTATAATTAAAAGCAGAGTCATCACTAAAAGTTTAAATGCAACTCGAAGCGGGCAACACATCGTCAATGCGGAAGTTCATTTTCTTACCCGGAAGCGACATGTAAACTCCGGTCTCTCGGGGGAGAACCCAGGCCACGATATCCCTAATTGACACAGCGAGTTCGAGATGGAAGCCAAGAAAAATTCTGGTCATGCCAGAAACAAATATATTTCCTGCCCTCGTGTTGGAGCATATGCTTCAATCGTGTTAAAAAAGCATGCGGAAAGCGACAGCTTGAATCTCAAAGACGCCCGGAATCCAAATACTCGACGATTCGGACTCGTCAACAAATCACCAGTCAACGCTGAAACTTCGCGAGAAGCTTCAAGAAAAACAGCGTTGCACAAAGAAAATTCCGATCTCCACATTACAACGCAACACGAATACGGTACACTAAATATGCACTTAGTTTCATGAAAGATCCATGAGTAGAAATGGGGAATAGCATTTACATTCGGTTGTCTGAATGATGATCGCGGCGAATACGTACTGCATTCGTGAACAAACAAGGCTTGAAAATCGAAGCCACGAGGTGAAAATCTACACGTGCAACAGAATGTTTTGAAAATCCCGTCGCGCAGTTCAGAGCAGGCGAATAATTTCAACCGCTAAAAGAAATGATGTAAATGAAAGCAGGCAATCGATACGTCAACTTGAAAATTTATTCTAATATATTTGCCTGAAATGCGTTTTATGAAGCATATCATCCATTCCTAATCTTGTCGTTATATCAGGTTATCAGCGCGGTGACAAATATCAACAGTATCATTCCTCACGAAGAAGATTGAATGCTCTGTTTCTAAAAATTTCAAATTCCAAGGAATGGTCAAATCTGTCGGCAGAACACGTACACCTCGTCAATGCGGGCATCATCGTCGGCGACAGCCGAACATCAAGGAATATTCACTCGACGATCGAGTCTAATACTGTACTGCACAAGTGTACAGTACAGTAATACAGTACAATTCTGAGTTCTGCAACATACGAGAGGAAAAGGTATTCGTTGTCTCATTTTTTACACATAACGCCAATTGTTTTACAGTTGAAAGGATAATCGGTGAACATGGTTTACACTGCATCAGTGATACTGTAAAGTAAACAGTAGCTACTTTCCGTTGATAATTACGGTAAATAATATTTCAAATGAATGCAGACGGAAAGTCAATTGTAGAAGAACATGATCATTTTCCAAACGGGAAAACAATAATATGCTCCGAACAATGCGGGCTGTTTTTAGTGAGTGACTGAAGAAAACTCTTTTTTCGGTGATCGGTCTATAAAAATGAAGCGAAATACTGTATAAGGGCACTTTTCCTAAATTTCAGGGACATCGAATTCTCAAAACGGTTCCAATCAAGTCGATGAAGAATGCAATCCGAATTTTTTAAGCAATGATTTGCAGTCGTAACAATTCGGAACGATCTTGAACAAAGGCGTTCATAATAACTCCATCTAGTTTTTCTCGAGAAACAAATTTGCATTCTAGAAGGCGTGAAAGGCACGAACTGATCAAAGCTTTTAGTTTTAAAATATAATGCTTCCTCATTGTACGTTGAATGAACGAACTTGAAAAACAGCTTGGAAGCAATTCCGGCCTTGGATCACCTCATACCAGTCAACATTCGTTGTTCCGAATGTTCCATGAATAGGCATTTGCCCTTGAGCGGTTCAGCTACAACGTGACCACGACCGTGAATGAGCTCAAGTCGAGCCCATTGCGGTGGTGGGCCACAGCTGAGAAATAAACCTCTTCACCCATTTCGAGCGATGGGTATCTCAGAAGTCCTGCAAGTCATCTAAAAATTTTCATAACGCGCTTATGAACGTTGTGGTCAAAAGAAACCTTCCTCTTCTTTCCCTTCGAGAGAAAAAAAATTCGGAATACGAACAAACGGAAGAATCGCAATTAAAATTGATTCGAGGGACACATAA